TGCAAACAGTAATGTCTTTGAGCCCAACACTTTCGGTAGATCATTTACGAAGGCGAGGAACAGACGGGGACCGAGTACGGACCCTTGTGGAACACCGCGAGTGGCTTTGATGGGTCCGGATACAGAATCAGAAACACGAACTGATATGATTCGTTGATCGAGGAATGCTTTGATCCACTCAAATGCGAAATCTCGAACGCCGTAATTATAGAGCTTCTGCAGTAAAATTTTGTGATTCACTCGATCAAATGCTTTCGCGAAGTCGAGATAAATAACATCCACCGCATCCCCTTCGTCAACTGTACTGGTCCATTCATCTCGAACGAGAAGCAAGTTCGTGGTGCAGGATCGCTTTTGCCTAAACCCGTGTTGAGCTGTCGAGAGAATGCTGTATCTTTCGAGATGTTCCATCAGAGAATCGGCCACAATTGACTCCATGACCTTCGATAACACTGGAAGCAGGGTCACAGGTCTATAGTTAGCGGGGTCACTACGACAACCACCTTTGTATATGGGAGAAATGACTCCTTGTTTCCATGATTCGGGGAGTGTTGCTTGGTCGAACATTCGTTGAAACAGAATAGCTAGCGGTTCGGATATGTGATTTGCCAAAAAGATCAGAGATTTCGGGTGTATGTTGTCCGCACCTGGAGTTGCGTTTTTTCGCAAAGCCATTAGTTTTGCTTTGACGTTTTCAGCAGTAAATGATACGTAGGTGAGTGAAGGATGTGGAAGATGATGCAACCGTTGGGGTAGTTGTAAACCTTCAACCTGCGGTGCTGCGAATACGTTGGAATAATGAATTTTCAGCATTTCCGCTGCTTCCATTGGAGTGGCTGCAACTCTTCCAGCGCTACTTAGTACCGGTATACCAAACTTTACTTTTCGAATGGAGTTGACGTGTTGGTACAACAGCTTAGGGTTAGAAATGAATTTTTGCGCTAGCACCTCTTGGTATTTTACTTTATCCTCACGAATCAGCTTGGTGCAGTGGTTCCTCAGCATACGGTAATTATTCCATGTGACAGCATTCGGAAGATGATTATAATCTCGCCAGGCTGAATCCCTCGCCGATAGCCATTTCTTTGTGCGGCTTCGAATTGGTGAATTTCGGATGCCGGATTTGGTGATTACTCTAGTCACGGATGTTATTATATTTGTGAGATTTTCAGTAAATTTCTTCCATGCGACCAACGGATTAGCTTCTTCGTCATAAGAAACCCACTGAGCAGAGAGCGCCAAGTTATTCAACAGTAGAGCGCAAAAAGCAGTAAGTTTCACATGTGCATGTTAAGCGAACAACTACCCAACTACTGTTCCTAAGTAAATTTCTTAACAGAATGAAAAATGGTGGGATATAATATAAAATGTACCGCAAATGGAGATTGGAGTAGTTAGTATTCCAGCTTGAACAATTCCGTTTCCATCCAAAAGAAACCTAACTTGGTGAAGTGTTTGTCCTTCGGTGTCCGTAAGATAACTGGCTGGACGTTGAAGTGATTTTCACGAGAAACACCTCACTCGAGAATGGTTTCTCAGATTGGTAATTGAAAGACTTCCGATTGACCGAACATGAAAACCACCAGAAACGAAAAAATCTATTTCTGAGCATTTTCAAGGGATACTGTGTTAGGAAAGTTAATTGTCAACTCTTTAAATTTGACACACGACGTTGAACGCTTCGTTGTTCAGACTTAAAACAAGGAAAACGTGCAGTTGACCTCAGTGCTGGTTGTGTACTCTTTCAGATGCATTTATGACACATTTCTATGTCGGCTGAACAGCATGATAGCTATCCACCTAATTTTAGGAGTATCACCCACGCTGAACAAGTCAAAGAAGGACCAAATCAATAAACGGCGTAATTCTAGCAAGCCCGGTTGACATCGAGGGTCAGGCACATCCGGACGTGGTAATCACAGACGTCCATCGAGTTCCTCCGATCAAAAGCAAAGGTGACCAATGGAGCACTCGTGTAGAAGCCGAGGTGCTCTGGATGGGGAGTGTAAGAATACTCACTCTTTTTAACCTGAGGCCATATGACAGATTTGTCATGATAAATTTCCCTGGAAGCATACTACCGGTTTCGCGGTTCTCGTTGTTCTTCAGGCATGCGTATCCGGTAGTCTTTTATTGTCTCATTCATATACTTGTACTCAGAAATGTATTTTCGTCGCAATAACCTCATTTGCAGCACCTGGTAAATTTACTTAAACAGCTGTTTCAAAAAGAGAAAGAAAGCATAGTGCTAGCGGGAAAACAATGAAAATTGATCAAACAATTTCGGTGCAAGTGAGGCAAATGAGACTGCGGAGGAGCAGAATACAGACAAGGACAATAATAACACCAACAAGAACAAGAGTATGACATTTTTGTCCTAACCAATAATTTGATGTGCCCATTCTGAACGTATGAGCTGGAATGATGGGGCAGAGGATTCAAGACTGGTGATGGTGTCACCATTTGTTCTTGATAATTGCTTCAATTTTTGTTGACCTCGGAAGAACCCACTTCCACAAACGGTTGTTTTTTCCCGTCTAGACAAGCGTGACGCCAGTTCCCTCACGATCACTTCCGGACATACACGTATGAATACAAACACACCTAAGGTGAATTTTCAATATTGCCTGAAAATGATTCTGTAAATGACTGCGCACGCTAACCGAAATGCTAGCTTGTTATTACTTTTTTTCGACATATTCTCTGTTACATATACATCTGTGATGCACGAAATATTCGTGAATTTGCAAATTCAGTCACTGTCGTAATCTGCTACTGGAAATTCCTGGCACTGAGCCACTAGAAGGATACGACGACCATAGGAAAATAAAAGTATGAAGGAAGGTAAGGTAAGGTGGCAGGACTTGTGGTTCGAGCTAATATTTGTCTAGATTCCTGCACTGTNTGCACTGTGAGGTCCGTGTCCTCGTCGTGCTTCGACTGCCAAGTGTTTCGTTTGCCCAGCTTATCTATACTAGATGATGCTCTTATGCCTGTTCGCTGGTGTTTTATGCTATAAAGACGAACTTTAGTATATAAAATTCTGGATCTCCACCTATTTTACCATTCGGTCCGGTTAACACCTGGATTAGTTACCTTCGGGGGTCAAAGTAAAAGAAATCGATGAAACGGAGAGGGATTTAAGGAAAGAATCAAGGGTAGATAACCCGAGAGATATTGACATTTTCCTCGATGTTTGTTTATCCCTAATCCGTCTTTTGGTGTCTTTCGTGAGCTCACCCCCTCATCTCAGTGACGCTTAGCCACCCTCTTGCGCCGCACATATACAAGTTAAAACAGATGATCTTACATGTGGTTGCCCTGTATTTGATGGCGAACAACCATAATCTTCTTGTTGGCCGACGGTTGGAGCACAAGCTTGCGGTGCTCTGTTTATCGCTCTATAAGTAGCACCCAAAAGGACATCACCACTTTTGTGGTGTTATTTGTTAGTGAGTCTATCAACTGCATAGCAGCAACTCAACTTTGTTGAGGATTCAGCTCAGCACACCCTTGTTGCACACACCCGAGACCCAAGTGAAACTAATCATGGAGTGGTGGTGATGGTGGTCTTCTCCTCCAAGTGGACCGTCTAGAACCACAATCCGTTTTGGATCTAAACTGACGCCTGTCTCTTATTCGATTTGAACTTTTTTATATAGGCCCGCAAGGGGTTTGACACATCTGTGGAAGCTTGGAGATGTCGTTGCCTTTATGACTGTAGTTGGGTTTGTTGTCCCCAACTCGCGTTCACTACAGGTCAATTATCACTTTCGTCTCACATTTTGTGTGAGGTGGGTCGCACGAGGGGTGTTTGGTCTGGTAAATAGGACCGCCCCCGCCCCATAGCTTTTGAAATCGGGTTCATCATGAGGTATAGACAGATCAGCTACTTTGCCGCCTTTCGGTTCTGCAAATGGTCTGACCACAGTACCATATAGGGCGTTTCATCCTCACCCGTCTCCTTCTACTTTTATATATAGTATGTATGTAGTATCTACAACAGAAGGTAACCGGCTGCAAGCATTGTCACAAATCTTCTTGTCGCGGAAAATGCCACGTGCGAATTCGCTTGAACGTGGATATTGACCACCTCGTAGCTGTGATGCGTATCCCCTCAGCTGATTTCGTCGCCTATCGTTGAATCACCACAATACCACGTGGTACGTCATGCGTTCGACAGCGTGAACCTCATTGACTCTGATACAATGAAAAGTTCAACTATAGATTCCAGATTTGTATATCTGTCCGGATGCAGCGCCATGTATTTAAAATCGAAATGTGATGGTTTATCAAGCCCACGAGGCAAACATTAGATGAGGTTAGTATTTTTTTTCTCATAGATAATACCATAAAAGCTTAACATAAAGGCCTTTCTTAATGATCCAGTTCAAGTTGAGATTAAGTCGTGTTCATGTTTCACCGTACCTTCAGGTTGATCCAAATCTGTTTCTCATATTCTTCAGATTGATTGAGAACAACCCCGTAAAGGGGACTCATGGACGAGAATCCCGAACTGACCTTGCTACAGCATTTCTACTTCAAATTTATCCACGTGCTGCACGTGGTAGATTCGTATTGTCACATGACTGACTGACTAACTGACTGAACTTTCTTTGAGATGATCGATCTAGCCTGAGTTTGGAGCTCGGATAATACCTCGAAAACAAAACAGAGTTCTCGTCACGGACAGCTTTCTTTGTGTGTTGATAATAATGAGTGGTCAGGAGCTCACTTTTCATGACTGTCGGAATAATAATGCAACAGTTTTCTGCGGTTCCTATGACGAAAATAACTTCAAGTGGTACGATGATGCGAATGATCTGACACTTGAAGATGTAGCATCGTTTCTTAACGAGAGACCTGAATCGTTCACTCAGATCTCGCACAGTAAAATAGATAGTCGAATTTACTCGATGAACAGTGGCATTGCGTTACCGGAACTTCATACTATTCCTATAAAACAAAATCGAACCACTAGCATTTTCAGTGCAGGACAAATGAGTCGAGAGTCCGTTCAGTGCAAAGGATTCTCCGGTCGCAGAATTCTGTCCTGTCGATTAAGCAAACCGGGACAGATATTGGACAGGAATAAACAACATGGAATGGGTCTACTTTGGGATTGTCCCATAATAGAGCATCCATTGAATTCTGCCCAACAGCTAATGGAAGCGAAGTTGAAGAATAGGAGAAATGTGTTTCAAACGTTCGTACTTCATCATTGGCGCCATGAGCTAAAAGTGTATGCAAGATTGGGTTATTGGGCCCCGGATTTGATACCCGAAGGATTTCAAAACATCATAGATCAAGTGACCACGGCAGCTGAACCAAAGCGATCTAACGGAAAAGTCAATGGCACTTCTCGCACACAAAATATCGCAACAAATCCATGTCTACAGACAAACCCCAGTAAGTCCCCTTGCAGTTCCCGCTGATTAATTTGATACTGATATTCGTCCACTGTCGTTCTATTGAGCTAAGAAGAAAAACTCTGCTCAAATTTTTCGTAATATACCGAATTCGGGCTTGACTATTCATAAAATTGGACTGCATCAAATATCCATCAAGATTACTTCATTCGATTAATCACTCCAATTCCGTTTCCGGCCAAAGTTATTCAATCAATAATCATGCGCTTCTGTGCTCGTGTGATGATAAACAGCAACACATGTGAGTTCCATTTTCATGAAGACCTAATGTGCACTTGTAATAACCGGCAACCTAGGCCAGGAGTGGTGGTCGTGACGCAGAGTCAGAGCTGGGTGATGGTGGTAGTGTTAGTTTTGAACATCCGGGACTAAAAATACGCCAGTAGAGGAGCCTTAAACCCGTTTACTTTCGTTTTAGTACATAGTTGATTGATCAAGAATAAACATTGTAGACCATTAGACGAAAGGCTATCAGCGTTGCGAAAGCAAATATATGCGATGCGTGCAAGTTAGGTTCGTGCATAAAGGAAAGGGATACTTAGATAATACTGTTCACCACACGCAAACATACCGTCAAATATTTCTAACCATTAGGCTAATTTCGGTGTTTTCAATCAGGATTCTTAATTTGATACCTTCTTGCAAAGCCATAGTTCAGTTCAGTTCGAACAACCATTAACCATGCACTTTCGTGCCCCGGTTTTGGTTGCTGTGTTTTGGTTACTCATTTGTATGAACAGCAACTACCTACCTCCTCAGGTACTTCGCCGCAGAGAAGATAATAGCATGATCTAAGTATCATTGGGGGAGATTACAGAATAATTCCACTTATCCTGCAGTGAATTAAGTTTTAATATCGAGCATTCAGGTCCCATGTGAAAATAAAAATGGGGAAACTCCTATTGACGGTCATTTAGTCAAACCCTGCATTCGAGGCAGGTCTGCTGTTGATCGGACATAGTTGAGTATGGTGGGATGCAGATGGCAGGCTTTCTTCGAATGTGGTCATCGTTGATTATTGTTTACTTATTTATTTATATCGTTTCAGCTTTTCTATGACTTATGGAGCGAATTACTGCTAAATGGATCACATCCATACTGAAAGACTTGTTTTATAGAGCAAGGTTGTTGGAGGATAACTGAAGTGAATCAACTGGTTGATCATGAATGCGAAAGAAGAATGGTTAGAAATAGTTTTTGAAGTACGGAACGGAAAAGGATGGTTCACAATTTTGAAATCCTAGAAAGGCAGTTGAAAAACTTAGGTTCGACACTTAGGGACAGAAACCTGATCAAAGTGGTTGGCTTCATACGATCAAGATGGTCGAGGAAAGAAGAAGGGGATGGATTGGACCACGAAGGTGTTTTTAAATAAACGGAAAGCGAAACTAACGTTAGACAAGGCACAATGTAGCGATTGCTCGACATTGGGATAGTGACTGAAGATCTGAGGTCAGAGACGATTATTTGATCATTCGGATCGTTTTACTTTGGATCCGGGCAAAGAAAGTAGAATACGAGTGTCCAACCGACACGTGACTGCAGTGTTCAAGCATCAAGTGGGTGAGGTTTGTGTAAACGATGGATAGGGGTACAAAAGAATTTGGCGAGGCATAGAAAACCGACTGCTCGCACTGCGACAGGAATGTAGGGATAGAAATGGAGACCGACAGACTGAAAAATTTGTGGATGAACTCAAAAGAGACAGAATCTACGGAACAAGGAGGAGGCGATTCAAATTTCAACTGGCGAAGAGTGAGGGGTGTGTTTAAGCAAAACTGCTAGGAGGAAGAAGTTTTAGAACCATTGGAACGCCAAAGGCTGATGGAACTTCATGCAGAACTGAGTACAAGTTCGAATACAAGTGATTCACAAATGGTATGATGATTATAATCAAATTTGGTGATAGCCTGACAACTTATTGGGTAAAAAGAGAACCACGGAGAGTTGTATCATTGGCGAAAGAATGAATGGGTTAGACAAACAGTAGACAGAGAGTGATAGCCGATGATCGCCAGGTTTGACCCTGGATTAAGTACCTGGAGATCTGATGTCGTGTGTTCAGGAGTGTCTCGGCGGAACATTCCCTGTTATAACGAATACACATAGGAGAGGACAGCACTGGTTACAGTGTAACAGTGTTCGACAGCACTGCGGTTGCTCTTTTAAAGTGAAAATCAAAAACCCAGTTGAAGATGAGGTGTGGAGGACATCAGAGAGAAAATTGGAGTAAAAGTTGTTTCTAATTTTCCCACACTGGAATCCAAAGGATCACGTAGACGGATGGTTGGAGATATTGAGACTAAGACATCAGTGGCTATCGGGTAGTCGTTTCTTGTCAGACTGGCCCAGTCGAAGATAACGCTGTTGGACTATGTATATGATCAGTATGCGCCTAACCTCTTTTCATGATCGAAAACAGGCTCATTTCTTATCTGCGTTGTACATCCGAGTACAATTTGTGCACAGTGTGAACTCGGGAGAGATCAATACAGCTGGCTAAACTAAATGTCTTTTAATCATAGATATTAATAAAATACTTATTTTTGGTGATGAATGTGAACAGGCAAGTCATATATATATATAGCTTGCGTTTGAGTCCAGCCTGTGTGCCGAACCAATTACTGGGCCGTAACATTTCTCAAAAAGAAAACTCTTCACGAATATCCAGTGACGTGAAAGAAAAAAGAATTGGTCATCATAGAAGTGCTCATTGACAACTGAATTGAAAAATAAGTTTACATTTTTGATTGTTCGTTACCTGTGAAATCACTGATCACGAATCTGCACATGTTATTGGAGTTCACCAAAAGCCAACTGTTTTCCATTGGCAAGGTGACGTTTGTAATTGCTGATGATCCACCCCCATCCCATTGATGTTTTTCACAGGTAAACGTTTCCTTCACAGATTTGGTGGTTTACAAGAATTTTACAGGCATCTGCGTGAAGACCGTCTGAGTGGGGACGAGTTCAGTATGGCCATTCATTTATGCCCTTTCGGTTTAACTATCGGACTAAAGCGCACATCGAAAAACATCGATCCTAAATTACTTCGTCGCGGTCGATATCGTCGCCCGACAGTGCGCACATCAAATATGACCGATCTGTGTAGAATATTACAAACACAACGTAGTCCCAGTGGAGGCAGTCGTCAGGCTTCACCACTTGAACTCAAAGGGATGATCAACCAGGTCCTATTATCGAATTTGAATCCACTGAAACCGATTAGTGCATACCAAAATCAGGATTTGAATGCAGACATATCGACCTCGGGTGCGTTGGTGGATATTCCCCAAAATGATTTCACTGAGAAAACGTCGATACACTCAGTAACGTCGGAATGCGCTAGCTCTTTTGATGATGAGGCGGATGAAGATGTGGATGAGGAGAAATCGGACACTTCTGGTGGCGGCGAGGTTGCCTTAAATCCCAACACAGGTGATTACGAAACAGTGACCAAAGAAATCCATAAACCAACCAGTGACACCCGGAATCGAATCGCACGTTCATCTGTCAATGCGCTCACAGAATCCAGCGATCTGAGTTCCTTGGAAACATTGAATCTTCCTGGTAGGGAACTGCAAAACAAGACAGGTCAAACTCTTGAGGTTGGTAATCGAGATTCGCAAATCGTCGTGAAACCTGATAAAACGTGTTCTATGTCAGTGTGTGAACCGAGAAGAACATTCAAAAAATTGATGTCTATAATCAAACCTGCAACAGCCATATCCTCTGCTTATCAATCCAGGAAATCCACTCGGTCATCTTCCCTATCCAGGGGGTTACCCCGACGGTCCCGTATGCTATCAGTTATAAAAAAGAAATTAGTTCCGGACATGAAAGAGCAAATGCCTGTAAACTTGCTGGTGCGTGGAATGCTTGATGAACTAACTACCGAGGCTCGTCCATCCAAATGGAGCTATCGCACAGAGGCCAAGGATAATTGGACTCATCAGATTTTACAAATGAGCAAGAAAACACAGCCGATTATTATGCGGGTTTTACGCGAACAAAATACCTGGCTAAAGGCCACAGCTGAGCGTTCGTCCAAAACTTCGAATTTACCAATCCTGCCCGACCATTTGGCCCGGGCAGTGAGTGAAAAAAGCAATTGTGACATGCTACCTGCTTTACTCCCACTGCGAAACACCGTTTCATCTGATCGGATAGATTCCGCCTCAGTCGGGATTCGGACTAGTGGTGCAATAGAACGCGCTGAGAGAACGGATTTAGTCACGTCATCTCGAACCCATAAGCCTAGTTTGTCTGTAACTGCAGAAATGCAATATAAACCGCTTCTTTTGTTCCCGACTGGCAATTTGGGGAACAGAAATAGTTATTTGTCTTGTCCAGTTGATACGCAATCTACAGGTACAGTAGGAACAGTAGGAACCACAAAGACTGATGATGATGCTCAGAAGGATGGACAAGGGCGATTACACAATGACGTGTTCATGCTACCCAGATTGCCACCAAAACCAAAGAATATTTTATTTGCTGTGCGTTATGAGTTACGGAACCAGAACCCCTTTGTGTTTGACTATTTCTTACAGACAATGAACAGAATTATTCCAGAAGATCGATGGCAAGTTGAACGGAGTACAGCTAAATTGGTCACCGCATTGGAACGAATCGGAGCAGACTTGTTGTTATATCGTCATTCATCTGGGCACGCGATTCGATTTAAGCTCATGTCAGTTATCGCCGCGGCCGACAGCAATCGAACATTACGTCGACAAATGCGTTTAAGCGCCGGTCTGCAAGGTAATTGGTTAGATCAGTTACTTCGATCCCTCTCCAGTATACACTCGTCCTGTCGTGTCGAGGCCACTCTGGCTATCACACGTCTGGTGACCGGTACAAGACTGATGCAACAATTATTTTCAGATCGGAAAAATAATCTCGTTGCGGATATTTTATATTCGCTTCTACGTGCGTCTGACATTTTCCCGGAAAACTGGCCCGAGTTTTATGCAACAATCGCATTTCTCTTACAATACAACCAACGGCAAACGGTGCTGGACTGTCTGCTTGATCGTAACATACAGTTCGGATCGGTTCGTGCGGCCACAATGTGGCCTCGACTGGTCGCGCTCGTGTACACATATTGGCGCAAACTAGTCTTGCAGAAGCTGACCGTCAACGAGAAACGTGTCGGAATTCTTCTGGATGCTGCCTTATGCCATCCAATCACCCGAAGAGGTGCTCGGGAAGCGATTGCAGCTATATCCGAATACCACACACTGAACAGTAAGCTAGTCTCGCTTTGGACATCAGACACCACGCATCAACAGACCCCACAGTCATCTGAGTTGAAATCGGATTATGGCATTTTAGACACGGGTTAACCCGGAGAAACAATGGTGTCTTTGTTGTGGCAATTGACGAAAATGATGCCCATTTCATGAAGAAAATCACGCAATTAATTGACTGAAATTCAACTGTATGTTGACTCTGTTCACATTTTTTATCGAACAATAAAGTGTAGTTACACTTTTTATACGGTTTTGGAAGCAATAACTCCGTGAAATGTTTGCAAATAACGAGTCATTTGAGTCACAAAGCTGAGGGATGCACAACGTTTGCCCCACTGAGTGTGTAGATGGGGTCCTTCGGTAAACAAAGAATACGATGCCTTCGCATTTGGGAGGATTAGCGCATAAGTGAAAACTAACGCCTGGAGGAAAATGGATATATAAAAATGCCTAGGAATTCAGAAATGGAAAACTAGTGTCACATTGTAGTCTAACGACTATATCGTCTGGATACTTAGCTGAATGGGCACCATTTCCGACTGACCCGTGACGAATATGGAAAGAGAAAAGAAACGGGGATAAAGTGGCTGAAGCACTGTGAAGAAAGTTGAGGCGGGCGGGGGGAAGAGAGGCGAATATGATTTGAAAAGGGGCCAGTAAATCAGTTAAACTGACTCCTGGTACTGAATTAGGTACTAAAACCAACAGAGAATTTGGTGAGGAAAACCAGACATATAAGAAAAGTTTACAGTTTTAGTCGCACAATATAAATTAAGGCAATGCCGTAACCTATGGAGCAAACACAAAAACGTGACCACAAACGTCAATTGAAGAAGAATTATATGGTACTGTGTATAACTTTTGCAAGTACTTGAGCTAACATTTCAATTTTGAAAAATCATACACGCCAACCATCACGAGGTACATAATAAACGGAGAGAAAATTTTTACAGTCATGGGGACATTTGATAATCCAGAATTAGGACAAAGTTTGTTTGTTGCCCTCTCTTTGTTTGTGAGTAAACGAGAAAGATATGCTATAAGGTGAACGAATTGCATTTTTCTCGCCAGAAAGTACCGCCAAGACCAATAAATAAACCCGGCCAAGTTTCACTTCCAACTATCCAACTCTGTAGTGTGACGATTAACTACCTAGCCATTCGCCCTCATCTTCCTTCGCACGGAATGTGTTGCTGCTTGTAGAGCTCACTGCGCATGACAGGCACCAGTAGTCGAGTGCATGAACCTCCTTCAACCCTGCAACCTATGCTTTTTGACTGAATGTAGCAGACAGAAGAACCCCGTTTTGTCTTCTCGCGGATCGATTTGATTGACGGTGCCACATCAGTCCTGATTGACATGCACAAAACTAGGGATTAATTCTTGATGTAATTGTTCGTAAACGCCAACTGAGAAAGGACTTCGCACCTTTGTTTGCAAGATGTGCTGAAAGACAATGACGGATGTGTATTGTGTATTGTGTATTGTGTTAAACTTTTGCAAGCACTGGAACTCACATTTCAGTTAAACATCATACACGCCAACCGTCGCATTGTATATAATCAACGGGGAGAAAAGATTTTACAGGTTTGGGGACACTTCATAATCCAGGGTTACGACAAAGTGAACTTATTGTCCGCTCTTTGTTTATGAGTGGACGAGCAAGATACGGTTTGGGTGTTAATATAAGGAAGCCTTATGAGAAAACTGATCCCCTAGATAAACCGACCTGATGACGACGATGATGATGCTGTTGGTTATGCTGAAGATAACTTAAAACCTGATGAAG